GTACAAGATTTACATCATACAGCCCATGTAGTATAATATTTTACAAATGATGAATTACAGCAAACATGTGCAATATATCCATTATTACAGCTCCGTGGGCTGGCAGTAAGGCGATATGGTCCGTTGTTATTGTGCATCCATGGGTAAAGAGAAACTCATGTAGTACTGAACACGTAACATGAACGTGCCGGGCGGCGCGGTCCCGTGGGTTAGATGCGCGTTCATAATGCCGAGGGAAATAACTCTCAGAATAACGTTATTAGCACATTTTTACAACTTGAGGAACGAATGTTTTTAATAAGGGGCCGGGCTATACAAACGTTCATACTGGGTAGTTTATTTAGTTTAAAAAAAATTATCCAACGAATTACAGACCACTCTTTCCCACTCTTTTCCATTGGAGAGGCGAAGTCACGCCCATCTACTTCCGGACCATGGGACCCCGGAAGCGAAACATTTACATTGAATTCAATGGAGAGAGAACACGTATCTTTTGATCCCGTTTGAATTGTGCCACGAACTACACATATGATGTTTGTCAATCTTAAACAATCATTTTCATGTCAAAAAAGTCACATTTTGTCGTAAAACTGCTGAAATATAAGACTATGAAAAATACGCTACTACAAAGACTACAAATCCCAAATCCCATTCTGGGTCGCGTAAGTGATGTCACAGGCATGCTCGGTGATTTATAATAAGACTCGTAATTAAAGCGAAGAAGAAGAAGATCTCATAACTGATTTATTCCCTCCAATAAATTATAGATCGCTAAAAATAAATTCACTTTTACAAGATGCCTGTGTGCTTTGTACCAGGTTGTAGTCATAAAAGTGATCATACCACTTGCTCCTTCTATCGATTCCCGTCTGATGAAAGGACCAGGAGTCGCTGGATCAGACATATCAGGTAATATCATAGGTAATATACATGTTGTGCATGGAACATAGTCAAGTTAGCTACCTAGCTAGTAGCGACGAGTAGCGAGCACGTTAGTTAGCATTACATTACTTAGCCTTGTCATTTTTAGTAGCCTTACCATGAAGTTATTATTTTATTACATGAAGTAAACCAAAATGTTAAATAGTAACCAAACATGATGGTAAGTATTTCGTGAAACTTTTGAAGAGTAGCCTACTGCGCCCTCCACCGGGTGCTAAGGAAGCAGTTCAGGGAGAGTCGAAGGCAGGCATGGAGCTTTGCATGACATTCTTCTGGACGTGTTTCATTGTGATGACAATCTGTTTGTTGGAAAGACAGTCGTTGTGTGCTTATTGAGAGAAAATTGTTAGAAGAGATAATTATTCAAAGTGTTGTTACTTTAAAGTGTTGTTACTGACCTTTTTCTCTTTTATTTTCTTTACCTCACCTGTAACTGCTGAGACGTTGAGGAACATGCACACTGACCTGCTCTGGCAACCTTATTTCCACTGTACGTAATAGTATTTGGTTATGATATATTATTTATATACATCAAAGGCACAATGCACCCCCCAGAGACACACATGTATTGAGTGTGATATGTTGCATAGGTCATGTGAAATCATCTTTACATACTAGAAAACTGTAGGAGCGGCAACTTGTTTTGAAATTGAATTTTTAATATCCGATAATAAAGTTGATCTGTTTTCTTTATTCTTCTCTCTTCCCAGCTCCATCACCATTCTCTGTTCCTGCAGGTCCTGCTTGCTAATCAATGCTCATATTTTTTTACACAATTACAAATAAAGTCATTGTATTGTATAACATGAAGTTGTGCTTCATTCGGAGTCAATAATAAATTCATTCTGCCTTCAACTGCGCAATGATTGTGGACTGCACCGACATCCATGTAGCTGCCCCCCAGTAAGATGAACCAAGCAAAGAGGGTCCCCATCATGCCCAAGGACATCCAGCTGGCCCGCCGCATCCGCGGAGAGAGGGCTTAGACTGACCTGAGACCAGCACACCCAAACACAACAGCTCTTTTAAGAGCCACATACATTTTCAAAGAGTTGCAATCCTACGTTATTATAATGATTAAACTGGTTCATGTATCACTTAGTTTACTGAACCGTGATGAATGAAAGAAATTAGTGAGGTAGTGGTTTACTGAAGTTACAAAGACATTAATATATGAGTAACAGGTCAGTGTAAACACAAGCTTCTGTCAATTATGGATCATTCAAACTATTTATATAAAAATATGTAATAAAGTTCTAAAACAAGTATTCGGTATATTCCTTGATAGCTTTTGGAGAAGGTTGTTTTTAAGTTTACTAAAATCTATCGTTTCAACTGTTTCACTTTATAAAAAGGGAACAGGTGAGTAAAGCATCATTGAGTTTCTTATTCTGTCAGTAAATTATCCAAATGAATGTTTTTCATTATTTTAGTCAACCCTAAACAAATTGATTGTACCTTTTAATGATGACCTTACATGGTCGGCAAAGTTAAATTAACTTCAGAAAATTAAATCTGTTCTGAGAAAAAACTAATAAATGTTTAAAGATAGGAACTTGCCATCCCACTGAAAAACAGTCCGTAGAGATTTAAAGGCGTAGTTGTAGTTCAGTCCAACGTTTCATTTGGATTCATTTGACAACAGTCAACTATTTTCATAAAGAATATATATATTTTTCAAAGTCAACTTTATTGTCAATCTTACTCAGTTTGAGAGATCAAAAAGACGTTTAAATACAATTATACAATTTACAGATATGTATACAAATATATATATCCTATATACACCATCATGTATAATGATGGTGTATGATGTAGAAGGAAGTGTGGTAGATAACAAGTAAATATAGAGTTACATACAGATCCATGTTACAGCAAAAGATGGAATAACTAAGAAGCACGCAGTATAATAATAATTACATGCAACAATTAAATAACTGCTCAGCATCTCCACCACAATCCCAATCTGCTGTGTCCTGTTTTCCTCCCCTCTGCATAACACCCCATCACACATACGAAACACAACGCAGAGTCCGAGGGTGTTAAGAGTATGTTTATTGAAATGTCCTCCTCTCTACTGGCCAACACAGGGAGCATATGCTGGGTGTAGAATTGTTCCAGGAGGAGGAGATTTCCATGCCATGCAGGGTCTTTGGGGATGGGGATGATGATCACCTCCTTCGTGGTCCACACAACAAAGTAGCAGAGACTCCGGTCTGTGATGTGCAGCTGCCCTTGGACCTGGTGCCAGTATGGGTGATTCTCCTTGAGAATATATGACCCACCCTCCTCACGGAGACAGAAGGATGGTAACTGGACTGCCTCCGTGATGGTCATGTTCCTCTGGCTGTGTGGACACTTCACCTCCAGCAGGGCAGATGGCTGCACAAGTCCATCGGGTGATGCTCCCAGAACACCCGACTCACTCACAAAGAGACCAGACTCGATTCGAACACTGTCACTTGATAGGCCTCCACAAAAGCCTTCACCCCTTCGGCCTCGTTTACAACCCCCCAGTTGACAGTTGGCGATGTCTCTGGCCAGTGGGTTGTATGTCTCCTCTCGCTGATGGTAAAGTTGAGACACCGGCTGGACTACTTTGGAAGTGCCAGGCTTCCTCCACTGGCACTCAACATCTGTGGAGCTGATCTGCCACATGGCAAATATTGCCAATGCTGCAGCGTGGCTGCATTTGTACATCTCCTGTGCACAATCACAGACAGCGCTCTGCATCGCGCCATCGTCTCCCATGCAGATCTGTAAAAATAAAGTAAGTACCATTTGTTAGCATGCTATAATAGATTGAATGAGCAATAATACAAGGATGGTCCGGATCTGGGGGGTGGGAGGGTTTATTTTTCCATAGTTTTGTCCTCTTGTCTGTTGTTATTGTTTGTTTTTCTGTATTTTTGTAATTTGTGTTGTATTGGTTGTGATTGTACATTGTATTTTTCTAAATGTGTATGAATACGTTTTTGAAAAACATTTGATCAACAATAAAAAAGGATTTGGTCAGGATCTAGACTCAGTGTGTAGTTTATTAATTAATCAATGCTCTCTACATTAGGAAAACACATACCGGTGTACCAGAGGGAGTCACACACAGCTGTGCCTAGATAACCAAAATCCTTGAATCGACACACAGCAAATAAACTCAAATGACACAACGAGAAAAAGGAGATCACACATACAGTATAGTCGATATAAAACTGGCCGCTTCAATCTGAAGAGCAACTAAAACAAAACCTTGTAAAACCGTGTACCTTGTTCTTGTGAACACTAATGTTATCCACAGCATACACAGAGACCACGAAGTTCTTAAGGAGAAAACTAGTTGCTAAAACAAAACACGTTAGTGTACCTTGTTAGCTAATGTTAGCTAGCTGACATTAACGTTACACATTGCACTCATATTACTCACCGAAACCTTGTAAAGCCGGTCCCGCATGCTGGCTCTTACAGAACCGACTAACTCCCCTTTCATATAGGTACAGCTCTCAACGTGCCCAGACTTGTAGTGATTTTCACCTCGTAAAATACTTTTATTCTCATTCTGAAAGAATGTGGTGAAATGTGCTAACGTGACGGCCATCTTTATGTTGGTGACGCGTATTGTGCGAGACGAGAGACCTGTAGTTCACTGAGCGGTTTCACACGAAAAAATGTGTAACTTCACAGTTTTACGACACATTTTTATTTTTTTGACTTGCAAAATGTTCTTTTAAATTGACAAACATCATATGTGTCATTCGTGGCACAATTCAAACGGGATCAAAAGATAACCTTTCTCTCTCCATTGACTTCAATGTATAATTTTCCGCTTCCGGGGTCCCATGGAGGCTTTCGGAAGGGGAGGGACTTCGCCTCTAAGTCAATGGGAAAAAGTGTTTCCGGGCCCAGCAACCTAAAGGAAGTGTAGTACCGCCGTTTGACCAGCACGAATATTCTCATCAGACTCCGGCGCACTTCCTGGGGGCTTGACCGCAATGGGCTAGTTGCACAAGATGGCGTCTATGAACTTCCGGCGGCTGGGTATGCGGTTGTAAACTTCCGGTCTACAGTAGAGCGGTAGAGGGAAGAGCGATAGATAGCGTATAGATAGATATAGGCACTATTTTACACTCGATGTCTCCAAGACCTACCGAAGGTTAACATCAGTGATGTACATCGGCTGGTACAAGCGGCAGGCTCAGCCCCGAGGAGCAAAAGAGAAAAGGGGTTCAAGATGTAGCTACATATCCAGCTACGTCGACAATTATGAAGGTAAGTGACAAACAAAGCTGTAGTTACTGGCTAACTTTGACAAATTGACAGTCTTGATACAGTGTAAAGCGCTTTAATTATGTACTATTACGTTTTTTTGGATAACATGAATGATATCCAATTCCCCACAGTTTCAAACAAAGATCTACCTTCAGGGAGAGTGAGCATAAGGGTTAGCTGTTACAGGTCCATGAGAAAGCATGAAAAGCCTCACGATCTCAGAGTAGGGAGGAAAATAAAAAGTGTTAATCGGTTCAAAGCCTCAATCAGGTTCATGTTCTGGGGTTTTGATGTGGCAAGAGTAGGTAATCTGTGATTTAGGATTCAAATAAACCCAGCTAGCTGACGTGTTGCAACAGATTACATGGTGACAATACATTTGCTCACACCAACTGGTAGCTAGCTATGTGTGTGTAGCATGAAGGGGCTACAGATTTATTTCGTTTTGTAACCCTCTCGTGTAAAATGATAAATACATTAGCTAAACCCAAACTTAGCTTTCATCAAAGATTCTTAATGAGAGGTTGAAAACCGTCTCTGCTTTCATGGAAACACCAGAAACTGGTTGTGACGGCTGCTGTTCTTTACTGAATGGTTAGTATAGAGGCTTTGCATATGACGTCACGTTACCCGTGACGTCAGCGCAACGGCCATACTGGAGTACCAAAACAGACACCGTAATACGTCATACCTGTTCAATGTTTGTTTTTTACCGGACATACAATGGTTAACTTCTGTGCCATTGTTGGCTGCGGCAACAGAGGTGATCGAAACAGGGGGCCGAAGTCATTTTACAGGCTGCCGGCGGTTATAACACACCGGGGTGAAGCAACACATGAACTTTCAAAGCGTGGCCAGGAAAAATGGCTCAATAGGATCGGACGGGAGGATCTCAAACCATCCAACCACAACTATACTCGCGTTTGTGGGGATCATTTCACGTCAGGTAAGTGTCGGGTTTTACATACAAACATTCAAAATGAACATATAACCCACGTACTAAGACATGGATCTTAACAAGGAAATAGGAATCCTGGAGTCTGTCATCGATCGACATATCAGATTGTGGAGTATCTACAAAGTAAAGTCATCCCTTGGTCATCTTCACACCAGTCTGTCAATCCCCTGCAGTGCTTCGTTTAACTGCAATTTAAAGTAATCCCTCCCCCTACTGGCCATTTGATTATATGTAAACAGTAAAGGCTGTACAGTCCCTGGCACCTTTTCAGAGGCTTTTGGTTTCCTCAATTATTTGTCATGTTCCAATGTCTTGACACCAGCATTTTAAATATATCTAAAGTCTGACTTGTCCTGTCAAAAGAGGTCACATTTGTATGAATTAACAGTTCACCCAGGATATAACTGACCTACAAGTGGCACCTTTTGACAAAAATCATCCTGACTGGGCACCGTCTGTCAAATTGGGCCACGAGAAAATTACAGCACCTTCCCCTGCTACACATGCCAGTTATAAACACGCCAGAAAAAGGTCATCTATCGCACTACTTGATCTCTACAGCATGGTATCTGATATACCCTCTTTAGAAGAGCCCACACCAGTCCTGGGAGCCACTGGGGAAGAAGAAGGACTGATTAAACCAGAGACTGGCACTGCAACTCAGACTGATTAAGCTTGGGTAAATACATTTTGAAAAAAACAATTGAAAGGGCAAAGTATTATATTTATTACAGGTTTCCAATTTACCCAGTGAAAAACAAGTACATGCTTCTTTAACTGTAAGCTGTAGAGATCACCTCACATATCAGAGATAGATTAACATTGTGTTCATATTACAGTTTTTTTCAATGCTAAAACACATTTTTTGAAAGCAGGGCTTATTTTCTCAAAACACTAAACACAATTCACAAAACCATACACACAAAGTGCAAAACACCTCATATATACTGCAGACTTAAAGGGCCCATTGCATGCTTTTCCAGTTATTACCCGTCTCCTTGTGTGTTATGAAGGTGTTCATGCATGTAAACAGTCTGCAAAGTCAAAACCCCTCAAAGTACACCCTGTAGGGAGTAAAACTCTAACACAGAAAAGACCTCCCCCAAAAGCCTCGTTGGAGATTTCTCAGTTTCCATTGTTTACTTCCTGCCCGCGTGACGTAGCTGCACCGCGTGACGTCACTTCCTCTGCCAGCCGACCATATTAAGTGTTGTAAAACCTGCTTCTTTTCAAAGCTCTATCCAGTCATGTCGCGGAGGGTCTGTTGCGGAGAAATCCACAATGTTTGCAGTACCGAAGGCAGAACCACGACGAAGTCAGTGGTTGACATTCCTTTTTAACACTGTTCCAGCTGATTTACCAGCCGGTACTGTTGTGTGTGCGCGGCATTTCACGGACCAAAGCTTACAAAACTTAACAATGTTTAGCTTCGGACTTGCAAAGCTGATATTGGAGGACGATGCTGTTCCTACTTTGTTTGGACCAGCGGGAGAATTGGGTACACAACCTGTAAGTATTCATTGTGGTTTGTGTATTTATTCTGTTTAAAACAAACAATGTATCTACCACGACTGTGTAAATGCTATGCTATGCTAATGCTATGCTACCGAGGTAAACACGAGGGCTAACGATCATTCCCAGACCTCAACACCGATGTTAGCACATGACCTTACATGTATCTCATAGCAGGAGAATGTCTGCAAACACACACAAAATACTCATAGACAGTATACTCCGGGTGATTTAACCGTACGGTCAGTAATTACAGTTGCCGTTCGTGTATTCTACCGAGCTACCATTAATAAGCTAAGCTAGAAGCTCTAACCTAGAGATGTTATGAAAAACATTGTTTTCATGCCAGCTACAATGAATGACCGAACGTAGCAGACTAACTGTATAATATTGCAATTGTAAGATGTTCTTGCTAAGCCTAGACTAGCTGTTAAACTGCATATTAGGTTAGCATATTAGCTGGCAAGCTAACTGTGTTGATTACTGATAGACATGCTTCTGTGTATTTATGCCCTATTTGTTATTCCCCAACAGAGCAATGAAGTAGGTGGTAGTTACCACATGGAAAAGGAGGGACTCAAAAGATGCCTAGATCATCTGGAGTCAAAGGATTTGGCGGTTGAGTACATTGTGACTGACCGTCATCCGCAGATCCAGAAGTACCTGAGGGAACGCAACATCAAACAATTCTATGATGTGTGACACTTTGAAAAAGGTATTTATCCCTATATGTTGTAATGGAAGAATACCAAATCAGAGGCACTGTCCTTTGTTAAGATATTCCTTTGTTTTACTATGCAATTTATCCTGAGCTTCTAATCAGCAGCAGACATGACATAATGTCTGAATACATTCATTATATCTCCTACAATTTGGCCTGCCAGACCACTTGATCACAGCACCTTTTCTCATTGTAAATTACATTTCACTCACTAATCCTAGGATAATGTAAGTACTCTTTAGAATGGGAATTTACAGTGATATGAATATGTATGGGGGTTTCCTGGCTATGAAATGTTTTCAGACAGAAGGGTGTCGCACTGACAGGCAATTATCATATGTATGTTATGGTTGATGATATATGAAGTGTGGAATTTCCACCACACCCTTGAATGTTGTCCATCACAGCACGTCATTTCCACACTATGGCTTGAATATTAACTTGTGCATGTGCTTTTTTTGTATCAGGTTTGTCCAAGAAACTTCTGAAACTTACACAGAACAAGGACTGTGACACGAAGTTGAAGAGGTGGCTGCGCAGCATAAAAAACCATGTCTACTGGAGTGCGACGAGCACAACCTCTGGGCCGGAGAAGGTGGCAAGGTGGACGTCACTGGTCAACCACCTACAAAACGTTCACGTGCATGATGACCCCCTGTTCCCCAAGTGCACACATCCTGTAGGAGCCGCAAGCGATGCAAATAAACCTTACCTAAAAGGTGGTAAGTTCAATATTTCACTTCCTTCATAAGATCAACAATATAGAATGTAAATATAACATTGTTGTTATGGCAAATTATTGTTGTAATGTTCTAATGTGCTGGTGATTTACCTAATGTCTTTGTCATTTTACTCAAGGCTCAATAACACTCGCCAGAGTTGAAACGATACTCACCAACAAGAGAGTTCTCAAAGATGTGCTAAAGCTAAGCCATCACTACCAGACCTCATCCCTGGAGTCCTTCCACAACTTAATTCTGCGTTTTACCCCAAAAAATGTGGTTTTCCCTTTCATTGGAATGTTGTGCAGGTAATACACTGTATACTTTATTCTGTAGCATCTTATAACACAGTCACTGTTTAGTGGCATGAGGGTTTTATTCTGTCATAACACAAAGTCTCATTTTATTTTGCTATTCTATAGGTTGTGTCTAGCAGCAATGCATCACAACGAGAATGCTGGGCGTGACCAAGCGACAACTGCTGCAGGAAAACTTGTCGTAATAAGCGGGATAATGTGCACATTGCACATTGCATAATGTGCCTTCATGCCGATCCTCTCCGCAAAAAAAACGGCTCGTTCGCGGGCGAGAGCCGGCTCCCGTCGTTCACTTAAATAGTTCGCGACCGGACACATCACTACGACAGACGTAGCATAAAATGTCCACGAACACAAAGAAGAAGAACTCATTCCTAAAAAAAGGTACCACTTCAGTAATGTTCAGTTGTATGGAAGTGGTTCGGGTACAAGCAGTCAGACATAGAACAAACAACTGTTCTGTGTAAGGTCTGTAGAAAGACGATCGCTGCAAAACATGGGAACACAACCAACTATTCAGCAACTGCCGACAGAGACATGCAGTGGTGGAAGCTACATGAAGCTAACTTCCCAAGACTGAGTTATCTGGCCAAGAAATATCTCTCCATTCCTGCCACAAGTGCCCCTTCGGAGAGGGTTTTCAGTACGGGGGGTAATATGTGTAACATGCCAAAGAGCATGCCTCAAGCCAGAGGCAAGTAGGACAGGCTTGTCTTCCTCGTGAAAAACCTGTAGAAAACTTCCTAGAAAGTTAAAGGGATGTTATTTTGTTTGAGGGTATTTTTTTATTATTCATTTCATTATCATTATTTGTTGTATTTGTATCATTCAACATGATGATATTTTTAAATGATGAAAACCAGTCTGAAGTGATTTTTTTGTTTGATGCCAACAGCAAGACTAACCTGGAATTCATGCATTGCAATTATTCTAATGGTTAACTTCCTGCAAGCTATAACAAACCCCAATATTACCTTTCCTGAAATCAACCATCCTGTAACCTGATTTATTTTGGACATGTTTTTCTATTTCACTATTATATTAAAAACATATAACAATATATATTTTATTTTTTAACTGTTTAACTGATGACCTATAGCCTTTATATTTTGTATTGGAACATAACAAAAACATATTTCATAAACAGTTTTACATTTTCAAAGATATATGAGGCTTTATACTTTCTTTTAATTTTCTTTGAGAATGATGTTGTTGAGAATGATTGACAAAATTGTATAATGTATATTTTTCTCACATAACTAAAATGCAACCCAAATTATTCTGGACAGTGATATTTAATAGGTTTCTTTCCATACAGGTGCATTTGGAAAGAATAGAAATGTTGAAATTGAAAGAAATGAAACCAGATGCAGTCAACAATTCTAACATCAGATTCAGTATTGGCATTTTTTTTCATCCGTGAACCTTTGTTGGAAAGTGTGGATGATCCCAAAATAAAATGTCAAGTCCTCGCATCTTCACTCCAACCATCTGTTTTATTCTTCTTTTTACTCGCCATACTTAACTCACCACATCCAGGAGGATCCATATCATTTCAGAAAAAAATCGAGGTTTAAATAGAAAATCGTCCATTAGTTAGAAAAAATCGAGGTTTTATTTTTAGGCCAAATCGCCCAGCCCTACTTCAAATTGGCTTATACAAAATCAAAGAGGGGAGAGTGTACGGTCAAGCCTGTTAAGAACAACCCTACATACAGTAAGTTGTGAAATATTTGTTTTTATTTTTATTATTATTAACAGAACTTACATTTCAAATGATTAAAGATACAATGAACAATAAAAGTATTACATTAAATACAAAAAGTGAATAACAATAACAAATTATTTATACAATGCTCTCTTTTTCAGTCTATGTGGATGAGCTGACGAGGCTTGTGTTTCACAAAGTCTTTCTGGACCCTACACCCTTTGTGGACGAGCTGAAACGAATCCACGTCCCAGAGGACCTGTCAACTCAATTTGACAGGCCCCCCAAGGAGGAAATGATTGTCAGCCGTTTCTCCCGTTTCCCCCCAAAGGAGGTCGAAATCCTACATATTGTCCAGCCAGATCTTGAAACTCCTGGCGGATCCGGAGCACAACACACGACGGAATCACCACTCTGATGCCTCGCCCTAAATATCTCCAGCACCAGCTTACAAAGCTGCGATACGCAAGATATCGAAAACGCCTATCAGGAGAGGATTGGATGATGTACAGTGTATAAATATACATTCACACATTTTGTACATTTGTAAAAATAAAGTTTGATGGAAATACTTAGTCGCCTTTCTTTCCTGAATTATTTGCTCCTATAACATATCATTCATATATAGCAAACCATGATTTGATTTTTCATCAAACGGTAGTAGTTTATTACAGGTAACAATAACTTACTCTTCTTCCGTTGTATTTGTCAAAGGTCCGAAACTGTATTTATAAATATTGTGGAGATTCTGCAGGGTGTATGGGTTCAAGCAGTTAGGCTCTAGTCCTGGGTGGTCAACCATGCAGTTAATGGGTTCTGGAACTTGCAGCATGCGTGTTACAACCTATGAAGGTAAGATGTGTTACAAAACACGTTTAGCAATTAAACCAACTATGAGAAAGTTTTACAAAAATAAACATTCAATTACTATGGAAGTAATAAAAGTGCATATAATAGTCTATTGACTTGAAAAATATGTATGCTGTATATCTTGGTATATGTGTGCTACTGTTGGTGTTTTCAGCTAGCTGCCGACATAATGTAACTAAGCTAGGCTACCTTTCTTATGCTATTGCAGCACACGTTTTCTCCGTCACTTGGCATCAAAGCGCAGTTTCCACAACGGCACCTAAATAATAACAGTTGTAGGTACATCTGATGACATCTGAAATGTAAGACATATACTAGATAAAAACGTACCACAATGACACTTTGGTCTGCTCTAGTGAACGGCGAGGCAAGACTCGCGATTTGGTCTATTCTAGGATCGAACGGAGGTTCGAAATTGTATGCACCATACGCCATTGTATGCTATATGTAAGCTATCTATTTATCTATATAACTCTCTATCTATCGATTCTCAAATCTAGTATTGCTATGTTGCTAAGTACCCGCTAAACCACTTTACGGCAGATGTCAACAGGGGCAGAGCCTCTCTGGTGGTTGACTAATCAGAACAGAGTGGCAGAGCTGACCAATCGGAGCACACTGGACGCACAGGAGGGTGGGGGCAGGAACTCCATCGAGCCGTTTAGCACAGGGAGTGAAAACTCATACTATACAGAGATAATGTATGAGAAACCAATCTGAGTTTGGAAAATTGCACAGTATTTTTCTATTGTAATATCCCTCAACAATGGTATTATGATCGGTAGAAAGGACCATGCAATGGGCCCTTTAAGCACTGCACCCAGAACTACAGAAACGCTTACCAAAACCAAACTTGTGCACCAAATGGCACACACTTCATTCATAGTACAAGACATTTTGTAAAACCTACTACACACCATCGTGCTCAAGCACACTGTTTTATGGCGTTTGATATAGAGAATTCTGCAAATAAAGATTGTTCAAGTCTCCAAAATATGTGCAGAAACACAAATATACTGTTGTTATACTTTTACTTTTCAAAAAGTGGAAAGTTGAATTGCAAATTGGGTGCAGAGCTGAACATGTGTTTAGAGTTTTGGATATTTGAGCTGAGGTTTTGCTCTTTGAGTGTCAGTTTAAATAATGATGATTTTTGTGTCATGTTAGTGTGCACAACTTGTTTTGATTGTTACACTTACATTACATTGCATTTAGCTGACGCTTTTATCCAAAGCGACTTACAATAAGTGCGTTCGACCAACAAAATACAAACTTGAAGAAAACAGAATCATATAAGTACATCAGGTTTCATAGAGCTAAAACATTTCAAGTGCTACTCAACTGGCTTTAGATAAGCCAGTCCTTTATTAGTATATAAGTGCTTTGTTAATAGTTCTATCGCTCGAAGTGGAGTCGAAAGAGATGAGTTTTCAGTCTGCGCCGGAAGGTGTGCAAGCTATCTGCTGTCCTGATGTCAATGGGGAGCTCATTCCACCATCTTGGAGCCAGGATAGCAAACCCACGTGTTTTTGCTGATGGGAACTTGGGTCCCCCTTGCAGTGCGGGTGCAGCGAGCTGTTTGGCTGATGCAGAGCGGAGTGCACGTGCTGGGGTGTACGGTTTAACCATGTCCTGGATGTAGGAGGGCCAGATCCATTCGCAGCATGGTACGCAAGTACCATTGTCTTGAAGTGGATTCTAGCAGTTACTGGAAGCCAGTGAAGTGAGCGGAGGAGCGGGGTGGTGTGGGAACATTTAGGAAGGTTGAAGACCAGACGAGCAGCTGCATTCTGGATGAGCTGCAGAGGTCGGATGGCACATGCAGGTAGACCAGCCAGGAGGGAGTTGCAGTAGTCTAGGCGTGAGATGACGAGAGCCTGGACCAGAACCTGCGTCGCTTTCTGGGTCAGCTGGGGACGTATCCTCCTGATGTTGTAAAGCGTGTATCTGCAGCAGCGGGTTGTAGCAGCGATGTTTGCAGTGAAGGACAGGTTGTTATCTAGGGTCACACCCAGATTCCTTGCAGTCTGAGTCGGGGAAACGACAGAGGTGCCGTGTACTTACATGTTCTTTATATAGATTTGATGTAAAAGAAACAAGTTAAATCAAATAAATATATACAATGTCATTCAGATTGATTAGTACTTCTGTTTCTTTTGAGAGGGGACGCCTTTTCCTGGGTAACTGTCTTGGCATCACGTATCCGTATAGATGTTTCTATGTAGAAAAGGAGAGATGCAACATGGGTACATGTTGATCCCAAACCAGCCTTGCAGTTGCAGTTAGCTGTGATGACTGCACCATCCTTCTTCATCAGTACCCACGGACATGTTGGCGGCAGCCCAATACTCTGAGAATGCAATACCTGAAAAATAAAATACAAAAATATTATTGGATTGTTGACTATTTAGAACCACCTTGTCATATGCTACATAACAGAAGCTGACAACCAAGAATAGGTTCACAACTTTTGGAATTTAAATATATTGCAATATATAATAAAGCTTTATTTATAAAGCCCTTTTCATAAAGCACATGTAGCTCAAAGTGCTTTACAATCACAAGTTAAAAATAAACCACGAGAAATTCCCCTCAGATCAGACCTTTACAGGTACATAGCAACAACATTAATATACATTTTAACAGGTTAAGAGACACGAGGAGGTGAAAAGGTATGATAATACAAATAAATAATAAGACACAAGACTAAGTTAATTGATGCAACAATATAAAACCCTATAAAATAAAGTAAACATATAGATATATGTACAACAAAAATAAAAGCTGGTGTTTAAAAATGTCCACTGAGTTGGCCTCTGATATTTCTTGGTAGCGTAGTGGATAAAAGCAGCCTCACCCATTTTATTTTGGGGGACTTTAGGGATATTTAAAAAGCTAGCTGAAGAGGACCTCACGAAATATTTACTCACTTTTCCAGCTATTACAGCCACATCTCCTTGATATGCAACGCAAACGTAGCGGATCCACCCGGATGTGAACTCTTTATGTGCCTAGAGTCCTTTGTACGCCTTAATTTCCTCCATGGTGTACAATGGAATAGGCGAAAAAACCAGGTAGTTCACGATATCACAGTAGGAAAGTGAAGGCCATGAATTTATATCTGTGCTGTAATCCTTAACGGGAATCAAATAAGGGTCCACCGAACCAATCGACGTATATTTTTCTCTGTAAACGGTCTTATCCTCCGGGTATAGTGATTCGTAGTAGCCTTTCATTTTCGCCATTTTTGAACGCTCCCGCCAGTAGAGTGGTACTCCAAGATGTCTGACGCGAAATCCCGTGACGTCATTAGGAAGCCTTTATAA